TTTGTCTCTATTCGGTGGTGGCCACGAAAAGCAAGTGTGAGCGACGAAAAACACGAACTTGTGAAAAGATTGTAGGAAATGAACAAGGAGAGAAAATTGCTTTTGTGAGGGGTGCGTCCAACTCCTAATTCAATAAAAAAGGAGCTTTCTTCATTTTTTCTTTCATTCGATTGATAATCATCTAATCGTATAGAAATCGTCACTTAGTTCTTCAAAGATAACTCAAGGAAATAAAAAGGAAAAGTGTTAGCACCGGGTGTGAAAACTTCACTAGAAATTCAGTTGTGTTCGATTCGCAATAGATCCAAACACAGTACTTCGGCTTGGAACTGTTTTCCATCACAACTTGGGATCGCTTGTAACTCTGCCAAATTGGCACAGTAGACCTTATCTCGCCTACGATCCTTGAGCAGCAATTCAATGTATTTGAAAATTGACTTACATTTGCCCCCATGTGGCTCGTTAATGTAACTATTGACATAAATCGATGGCTCATAAAGGCCACAGGCTTATTTCACGTGGTGTCTTCATTTGGGGCCACTTTTAGCCCTAGGGTAGGTTATTGTACCGAACGTTATATTATATTACCACTTTATTTCAGAACTGTCATTTTCCCTCCCTGTGTGCTATCTCAAAAGATTGTCTATTTTTAACTGTAGTGAAACACATACCCAAAAATGAACCAAATGTTTCAAATGAACAACATTGTCTGGTAGACGCGGGCAAAAACCCCAAAGTGCTGATGAACGTCTTTCACAAATAGGAAAGTCACCTCGAAATCGAAAGGAATAAAATTATGTAGCTTTTCGTGATTGGAAAAACGTTAAATGATTACGGCCTCTTGCAGTGTGGCTTTGAAAAATAACTTGATATTTTTTCCAGGTTGATCTGCGGTGGTCTAAAAGATTCACGTAAGGAAAATCCCCATAATTTGCACTTTTTTTCCCCCAGAATTGCTCCTTTAACGGCGTTGCTGGTGACTCCGTTTTGGACGATGTCAGAAATAAAAGAGATATTTTAAAATGAAAGGCTAGGGTTCAAATCGTTCATCTTTCATGGCGCGCGCATCATGGTGAAGTTTCCTGTCGTTCTGAAAACGCCTCCTTTTCAACTCTCAATTAATTAGCCGATTTGCAATAAACTACCGAAAAATCAACTGAATGGCCTGCCTGTCATACACTGCTTTTTGGATATTCTCAAAACAAATTTTGTGCTTTGAGCTCACTTAAAAATCCTCACATCTCGTATCCGAAATCAAGCCAGGTTGAATAACGAAATCCACTTTCTTTTCTCCTTAAATAATTATTTGTTTTAATAGCCATTCTCATTTTTTCCCTTAAAGTACCAAGTATTCAAACAAAAACAGTACGGTGTTTTTTCAGAGCTGAAATTTACAGTCTCGTCCGTGATTGCATACATTGCATGATTTCTTGTGATAAGCACTGATGCATTTATCAATGCATGAATTATAGACTTGTAATGTTCAAGTTATTGACTCTAAATATAGTCGTGAGACGAAAGGTTGCCAAACCATTCATTTTGATGCTATCTGACCAAATTTGTCAATCATCTTCAGCCGTTGCGTGTCAAGTAAAGTTCTACCTTCTTCTGACCTGATACCGTGTTCTGTGCAGATACAATGTCCTGTGCTGAAAATTTACTACTGAATAATTGCTCAGACTATAAATGCATTTCCTTTTTTTGATGTTTATAGCGTGACATAGTGCCTGACTCAGAAGAAAACTTTGTTTCCGAATTAAATGATTAAGAGTTTTATTTTTTAATGGAACGTTCCGAATCTGAATAAATCCGTGTTTACAGTTGTAACTAGCGCATTTGGACAATAAGCCCTTGAGTCGGCGCGTGTGCCGCTCAGAAATCCTGCTTGTTAAGTAAACATTTTTCATGTCCTGTGCGTTGTGACGGACTAAGATCTCCAGGACACTAACAATTCTAAACTATTCCATCTAGGATCGGTTTTCTATTTTGTGCCATGCTTTCAGCGACATTCCTAGAATGTTAACCTATCAGCAATGCGTGTTACCCACACAAGTTTGATGATTGTAAATACATGGCGTCTATTGTTTCAGGGGCAGTTTAGTCGCTATTTTGGGCACACCACTTTTGGTCATGTTTGCTAATGAGTTTATCGTAATGCAACAAGCTGTGATTGCTCCATTTCTCGCCTTTAACAACCGCACGACCGAGACTCCCAGGGCGTTTTTCCTCTTCCTCTTGCTTTTCCTTACGACACATTGAACAAGGTGAAGGTTTTGAAAAAGAATGATTTCTCTATTCGGGATGGATCTTGTATATTATATTACACATTTGTTAATTATCTGGTGGTGTGTGGTTTACAAAGGGTTGCGCCTTCATCTACATTCTGATATGACAAAAAACATTTGGAAAACTGTTAATGCCTTAGAAACAGAGACGAAGGGATCTACATCAGTTCCAGGGTCAGAGAGATTTTAAACGGAATCAACGAAAGTTTTAACCTGCGGTAAGCTGTTTAAGACAGTGGGAACGGTCCGAAATAAGGACTTAGGCCTTTTATAGGAATTACGTGAATTTTGTAACTTGGTTTTGGTTTTTGACCTCTTGATTTCAGGATTACCCCCCAACCGGATTTGAAAAATTGCCTTTCATCTGATTGAAGTTCTAGACATATTTTTTTCTCGACTTTCTCGGAACGATTCCTTAAAATGACCTCTTATCAGTCGAATGGAAAAAGGCAACAAATTTTTACAATATATGAAGCCCATTGCATGTGCGTGATTTTCAAAAATAGTAGAAATATGCCATATCACTTTTTTAATTCCTTGTCAACTGTTCGGTATCTTTTCAAGATCAAATTTTCGTGTGTTTATCTGGTTTGATTCTCTCTCGGCTTTTTAGAATAATATCAATTTAGTCAAACCGCAAGAGGTTGTTAACGTCGGCAAAGCGGAAACTTTAAGACAAAAAGACTAAATCAATCACTGAGGAATTCGATTAGATGGTTTCCTTTCCTGTTGTTGGAGTTCGTGTGTGGTTCTGTGTGATATTCCGTTTCGCGTTACTGACCTCGTACGTGCGCGTTAAGCGTTATTGAGAGTTTGAGTTAAGTGTGCTAACGATTGGCTTAATTAATATTTAGTCAATTTGGTTTTATAAGCTGACTGATAGCTGAAATTGGCCTCCGCACAGAGGAAAGCTGACTTTCGAGCGCTAGCTATTCATCATCCGCTCTGAAGAGCTAACGCTCAAAACTTCAGCTTAAGTAAATCTTTACGATGGTAAATTCACATTGAATTTATCGTCTAAGTTGTCAAGACTAAATTATCTTGTTATATTTTCTCGCCCATGCAGCACCACAGTTCCTTTAGAAACTAACCCCCATTATAAATTTATCATTTAGTCACTAAAGTTAAAGCTCGATAAAGCGGGTATCTTCGCATTAGTAAGTTCACTGGCTTCTTTTTTCCTCTACGATCATCGTCCAAATAAGAGGCGCGGGAACTGTAACGAATGTGCGCGAACCGCTCAGCGGTCCCTCTCGCGTTCCACGTTCCTACGCCCTCACTTCGCGCGTCCTCGTTCAACTCTTGGATAAAAGTGCAACAGTTGAAAACAGACAACCTCGGTGCGGACGGCCGAAAAACATTCTATGGTTATTCAAAAGACTTCATGCTGACGTTCAAGGCCCTTCAACGCACGGGATTCTGTTAGGCGCACTGCCGTTTGTGGAAAAAGACAAGTCCGAGGGTTGGACAGTGGGAGGTTAAAACTTGAAGCGCAAGGAGGGTAAGTGGCCTCTTCGTGCGGAGTCCTGGCGGAGGAAAATGCTTCCCTAATGAATGTTTTCATATCTACAGCTGAGATGCTGATTTTGGCGTGCTCTATCACGTTTGCCGTATGTTGCATTTAAAGTAATCCGTTTTTGTTTTTCGTCAAAAATGTTTTGAAGTGTCTTCGAATTTTTTAGCAGATCTGCCCCACATTAAGGGCATTGGTAACCTCTACCCAGAGTCCGCCGTCCTCTAAAGAGTTCCCTAATATGGTAGTTCGATAACAAAATTTTGATCATACTTTAAACTCGATATGCCATGTTCCTAGGCTTGAACAAAGAAAGAGCCCAAATTAACTTTGCTTTAAGCTGCGCGTCAGTTCATCTTCCAGACGACCTATTGTGCAATTGTGGTGTTGGAGACTGGCACGAGAAATAGCGGTTCGCTTGACGCTCGGCACCAATCTCTAAACTTCCCCTTCCGCCCCAGTTGTATGGCTGCACCTCGTGCGCCATTTTTTCGCTATTACCAGATTTTGGCGTCATCTGTGTACAATTAATAAATAGACGCACGGCAACATTTTTAGCAGTCGGCAGTGATTTTTGGTGTAGTATCTAATCGTTAAAAATGTACAGCTGTTTCTCTAGGGTTTGCAAAAAAAAAAAAAATCACCATTTGGGTCTGTAATTTTTTTTTAATGTGTGGCTGACATTTTCTTTTATTCTTTTTTTTTTTGGCGTGGCAACATGGAATCTATTTCTTAACTCGACACTGTTCTGAAAACTGGTCACAATGTAAACACAGTTTGTTGAGGAAACTATGAACTATGGCTACACAGCTGGTTTAGTCGCAATAACACGACAACCTCCTGTAATGCCTTTTGTGAATACGTGAAGAGTTTTTGAATAAAAATATTCTAAGGAATCAAACGCATCTTCCCCTATCACCCTCACATGGCGTTCCCTCTGTTTGCAAAATTCCTGGTGTCTGTTTGATACGAACGACAGGTAAGACTCGGTAAGATCATCGAACTAAAAAAGAAACAAACACTGTAATAAGTGAATAAAGAAGCCAAAGAAAGCATGTAGAGTTGAAGCAAGAGTCGGTAAGAACTTGTCAAAGTACAAACAGACGCAAAGTTATCAGTAACAGAACGAGAGCGAAATTTAACAGAGCGTTTAGAACTTTTTTTCCATACATTTCCGATTTTTGTCGACTTACTTCGACGCTCTCCAAGAAAAAGACAAGTGATGAGAGTTAAGAAAAATATCAACTAGGGGATTATCAGTTGATCGTAGACCAAATTCTCCAAACTAACATCATAAGAATTGTATGGCAGGCAGTAAGGAGAATTATGAATGAGAACTTGGAAGTGAAAGGGTCAAGTTATCTGTATATGCAGTTTATACTCAGCTGACAAGGATACGTGGCGCAAAACCATGGAAACGCATGACAACGCAGCCGGAATCAAAACAAAGCATTTTTTATTTTTTTTTTTTTACGAAATAGAGAGCAGGGGGAAGGGCGTGGGGTAGTCTTTTTTGACCAAGACTGTAGAATTTAGCAGTTGACGTACCTGAACATCAGTAAAGCCTGCTGCCTTGACCTGACTCATGTAAGCATCTTTTTCAGCGAGTTTGCTCATGTATAAGTCACGTTCGTATATTCTCAAGTCGTCCTCGGTCAAAACTACACCTGATTTCTGATAGAAGTCCTCAATAAAACTAGTAAAAAAACAAACGATAATAGCTTTATTGATCAGAAATTGTACAAATATGTGCATCTACCAAATCTAATTATGGTCCAAATTTTTGCCCCACTGGACAATTTAAGCTACAATAACAAGTTCCTGTAGAAAACAATCGGTTCAGGAAACTCTAGATGCCATGTTGAATATATTGTTGTTGCCTCAGTAACGAGTCACGTGAACGCGAATCTGAGCAGCGATTGGTTACTGTTTTGTTTTGGTCTAGGTTTTCAAATTTAACAACCATTCAGGACGGCCCACAACTACTGAAAAAGTCAAGAAAGAAGTACAAGAGACGGGCGGGAAGATTTCAAATGAAAGAGAAAGGAAAGGAACAAAGGACTTGAGAGGAAAAGAAGGCGCGGCGGGGAAGGTTTAAGGTTGAAGTGGAACGATTTACAAAATTCAACCAATCATTACGGGTCTTACATTTTTCCACCTGGTTTCAAGTTATTAAAACAGCGTTCAAATAAACTCTGTTTGTCTGGGATGTGGAGAAAAACCAGCCAAGAGACAATAAAATCGAAACAGCCATCACCTGAAAGGGGGAGAAACATTTATCAATACATTTTTCACAATTTGCGGCGAATTATTGGTTTTACTGTAGTTAAGCTTTACTACTTACTTGAAACTCATTTTTAGGAGCATTTAATCACAAATTGTGCTTTCGAATTCTCGTGAGGGGAGGTGGGGAGGGAAGCAAAATTTTTCCTTTGTTCTGAGTTCATGACAAACGCTAACTAACAATCCTCTTCGCTTTGCTTTTCGGTTAACCTATTTTTGCCTGCGTAGGAAGAACTACAGTATAAAATGTATATATATTGACGTTCTTTCAACTTGCTATCTGAGTTAACAGTCTATTAGCGTCAAGCAAATTAAAGAGCACTAGTAGATCTTGTGGTCATACAGTGCAGGTGAGGGTAATTCTGAAAAGTTTGGCAATCTGCAAAAATATGGCAATCTGCAAAAATATGGCAATCTGCAAAAATATGGCAATCTGCAAAAATATGGCAATCTGCAAAAATATGGCAATCTGCAAAAATATGGCAATCTGCAAAAATATGGCAATCTGCAAAAATATGGCAATCTGCAAAAATATGGCAATCTGCAAAAATATGGCAATCTGCAAAAATATGGCAATCTGCAAAAATATGGCAATCTGCAAAAATATGGCAATCTGCAAAAATATGGCAAT